CGAGGGACCCCTTTTAGCACCTACGCAAATTTGACGTCTGTGGTAGCGAACAGAACTTGGTGCAAGAAACGAATTAGTGAACTTTATTCCAAGCAAGAAGAAAGTGACTACAAATACTATGCGACTAGATACAAGATGACCGGTTGTTACTGGGTATTCATCACAACTCGTTAAATAAATCATTTGTATTTACAAACATATGTACATGGATTCAAAAGAGTCAAAAAGGAGTAAAAATGGTCTTTAGCTGAGTTAGTGTTTGGGTAGTTGGTCCACAGAAAAGGTTGTGGTTTTAAAAAAGAAGACTTTTAGTAGTTGGTGCATAGTAAAATGACTGCGATTGCCAGCGAAGATTCATTGCCCGTTTCCACTGTTGTTGTTGTTGCAGATGATTTGTTTGAAGACGCCGAGACATGTTTCTTTCAGCAACTTCTGTATGGAAAGCTATATAGCCATATTCTTCTTTTGTTTTTGAACGGCTAGGAGACAGTCGCATTTCTGTTCTGATTAATGTCGAAATCTGTGGATTTTATAAAAAAAAATTTCCCGGCAATTAGACTCAAGAAAAATAGAGTTTTATCTTTCTTTTATTGGTCAAATATTTCCCATGGTAATGTTAATTTCTAACCAATCGACGCTTTGATTTAAACGGTGTGCGTTGTATTGGAGAATCTTTTTGTCATGTATGTAAATATTGTCTGCTGATAAAGTTTGGGCGTGTTTTAATATGGTACGTATGTGGGCATGTAATTGTGTTGGAAATAGGGCTTATTTCCTTTTTTTTATCAGTTCACCCCAAGCAAGGGGCTACTACGTGTGAAAGAGAATGTGAAGACTTTAGCAGGAACTGGAAACACAGTTCTAAACAGGAAACAAAGGATAAACCTCTACTTCTCTTCAAAAGACTGGGGAGGAGTGTGAACCAGACAATAGGCGTATCTATCTACTCCTATAAGAACAACCTTTCTGTTTAAATGATATTAAACTCAATTCGTAAGAATGTTCTGGTTTCTCGTCATTATTAGTTCAATTATTTACTGCTTCAAGCATCAGCGTGACGCTGACTATATAGGAAGAACTAGTCAAATGTCAGAAATGAGGATGTATCAATGTGTCGACTAGTATTCGTAAATGGCAATTCAATAATTTCTATAGGTGCCTAATACATCTAGGTCTGCGATAGCTAAGCATCTGTTATGTTATCATCAGTGTGCATATAATCTATTAATATCTACTGTCTCCCAAGTGGGTTATAGGTAGAAACTCATTACTATTTATTCAGTCAAGTTAGCTCGGACATTTACAATTAAAATTATTTTATTACATAAAAAGTTTCTCAGAAAAGAAAACTTCATAAAGTGAAGTCAAAGAGAAATATTTCTGAATAGTTTTCAGAGATAAATTAAGACATTTTGTGGTTTCTTTTTCTTGTGGCAACAGTGGAAATCTAATTAGATTGACCGCGCTAGCCGAAGACCTTCTTTGTCAGCGCCGATGATTAGTCTAAATTCTTCTGCATCGTTTTCCTCCTGGACCGGGACGACCTGAATTCCTGTGTAGCAGCTGTTTGCCGACTCCAAAAATCAAATCTTAGGTCCCCTTTATATAGCATACAGATAGGCTCCAAATAGGTTGCTCAGAATTTGGAGGAAAACCCTTTCATTGGTTCGGACTTCGGACGCTGCTGTTTTACCACTAGTCAGAGTGTATCATACTTATTATAAAACCCAGGTTGTGTGTGTGTGTGTGTGTGTCTGTACGTTTATATATTGGATCGGATTTCCTACATTTTTCAACCAATTTCAACAAAACTTCACAGGACTGCGTAAAATTACCATGCGGTGGTTCTGACAGCGCCCAAAATTGGAAAAACAATTGTTTTTGCACGAAATCAATTTGAAAACACGATTAAGAGGCATTGCTTTCACGGAATGAAAGGGGAACAACTCATATCAAGTTATACTTATTATAAAACCCAGGTTGTTTGTGTGTGTGTGTGTGTGTGTGTGTGTGTGTGTGTGTGTGTTCATTTATATATGGGATCGGATTTCCTACATTTTCAACCGATTTCAATAAAACTTCACTTTTTGGGCAGGTAGTGTTTCTTATTGTCTTGCACACTTTTTTTTTTTATTTTTACATTCAGAATGCTTTAAAATTCCATTTACAAGATAATTGTTTATAATAAAATTCTATTCAATCGGTAGACTCATAACGATTGAAAACAATGTTTTTGTTTGGGTTTGACCAATTCGTAAAAAAAAAACAAAACTAATCAATACATGCGTGTCCGTCAACCTTAAACAATAATCTTTGTCAATTTTATTTTTCAGTCTTTATGATGGTCGATACTTGATCTATCTCTTACTATTACATCCCCGGGCAACGCCGGGCTCTACTGCTAGTCATAAATATTTTTGAAATTTAAGCAAGAGCCCATCACAGCGTCTACCAATCTCTGAAAGCTTGATGTATGCCGATGTAACTTAAATTTCTATAAATTTATCCAATTAGTGGTTTGCACAGCAGTGTTGCTTCCAACAAAGCCTTCACCAGAGGATGACTGGGTTTAGGTATGGTTTCAGGAACGAAGCATCATTACCACTAGCCCAGAACGCCCCAGCAGTACATCGCGAAACCACCAGGGTTTGTTGGATTGTCGTCACTGTGTGGGACTGCCATATCCATGCTGATTCAATTAGGGTCTTATTCTGGATCTTTGTATATATTTCCTCTTGTCTGATGGTGTAAGTCCAAGATTAGTCAGGCATGCGGACGTTGAGTTCGCAATAAAACCTCGGCATCCGACCTCGATAGGAAATTTGTTTATCTAGCCATTTCTAACACATTGTTCTTGCAGATCTTCATATATTTCCAACTTACACAGTCGGTCGAAATCTTCTACAAAAGAGATTGTTAATTCAACAACGAAAACGGGCCAGATGACAGTATCCGGACGCTGGGCCGTTAACGTTATTTCAGTTGAAAACGCGAGTTTATGGTCCAAATCAGTTTTACAACGTGCCAGTCTGTGCAACCATCAAACAATAATGATTTGTGCCTTTGCTCACACGAAAATTTTGAAATGTGTGGTTAGAAAAAAAAAATGATCTCATTGGCGTCTGTACGTAAAAAGAGTCTCGTGTGAAAGCTATATATTGTTTATATTTTAAGCTGGCAAAAGAAATTAGCGCGGAATCACGGCGGTCATAGGACGGAAGTTGAGAAAAATAAGATGGAGTGTACGAAAGACGGTGAGAGAAGAGGAATTTAGTCTCTACAAAAAGCTAAAAATATGGAGTGTACGAAAGACAGTGAGAGAAGAGGAATTTAGTTTACAAACAGCAAAACAATACGTGAAATACAACATCTACGTTTTATCACTCAGAATTAACGTCTGCTAAGGAATTTTAAGACAGTCTTTCGAATTTAAACTACAAAATGATTCCTTGGTTTTTCGACCACCGAAGAAGGAAGAGGTTATATAGACAGTAGAGGAAGCCTGGTCGCCTAGTGAGGTTTCTTATATATGGCCTTGTGTCAGACCACCAGACTGCCACATAAGCGTATTTGATATTCCTTTAGAATATCCATGGTTCACGACAAGGTTAGCAACGGTAGAGAATGGACAAACACGAATGGTGTATGAGAGGCATAACAAAATATAAGTTTACTTTAACAAGAAATTGGCAGGAATGGAGAAAAGAAAGAATGCGGTGTCGAGTTCTTGGTTCCTGGATAGTAGTCCAGCAAATCTGTGCGATGTGAGGTTGATATTGATGGTCGAACGTTGTTGTGCGCCAAAAATAGTAATGGTTAGCGCCAAATGTTCTTGAAGAGGAAGTAGCAAAAAAAAAAAAAAAACGCAGAAAAGGTTAATTGTAAGAATCTCCTTTTTTGGAATAAAGGGTACAAGGGAGGCAACTTTGTCTATGAATGTTTACATTTGGTAAAAGAAGAAGAATCAAAGGAGACTTAGAAACAGAATTCACCGGGTCGGTTATAAAGACTCCAGTATGAGTTCGACCAAAATAGAATCACAGAGTTTATAAGTTGCAAGAGAATGTTCAACACATAGAATGAAGTATAGACCAAATGGAAAGATCCAGAAGATACAAACATGACGTGTGAAGACCCGTGGATCCCTGACGTACTTATTGCTTTGGACAGGAGGTAAAGTTCGTTTGATACTGAGGGTTGGTGACGAATGTTTGTTGCTTTGGACAGGGGGTAAGATCCGTTTGATACTGAGAGTTCGTGACGAATGCTTCTTGATTTGCACAGGAGGTAAGGTCCGTTTGATACTGAGGGTTCGTAATGAATACATGTTGTTTTGGACAGGAGGTAAGGTCCATGTGATACTGAGGGTTCGTGACGAATGCTTGCTGCTTTGGTCAGGAGTTAAGGTCCGTTTGATACTGAGGGTTCGTGACGAATGTTTGTTGCTTTGGAGAGGAGGTAAGGTCCGTTTTATACTGAGGGTTAGTGACGAATACATGTTGCTTTGGAGAGGAGGTAAGGTCTGTTATATACTGAGGGTTCGTGACGAATTATTGTAAAGACAGGAGGTAAGGTCCGTTTGATACTGAGGGTTCGTGACGAATGCTTGTTGCTTTGGACAGGAGGTAAGGCCCATTTGCCACTCAGGGTTCGTGACGAATACATGTTGCTTTGGAGAGGCGGTAAGGTCTGTTATATGCTGAGGGTTCGTGACGAATTATTGTAAGGACAGGAAGTAAGGTCCGTTTGATATTGAAGGTTTGTGACGAATGCATGTTGCTTTGGACAGGAGGCAAGGTCCGTTTGATACTGAGGTTTCGTGACGAATGCATGTTTCTTTGAACAGAAGGTAAGATCCGTTTGATAATGATGGTTCGTAACGAATGCCTGTTTCTTTGGACAGGAGGTAAGGTCCGTTTGATATTGACGGTTCGTGACGAATGTTTGTTGCTTTGGACAGGAGGTAAGATCCGTTTGATACTGAGATTTAGTGACGAATGCTACTTGATTTGCACAGGAGGTAAGGTCCGTTTGATACTGAGGGTTCGTAACAAATGCTTGTTGCTTTGGACAAGAAGTAAGGTACGTTTGATACTAAGAGTTCGTGACGAATGTTTGTATCTTTGGACAGGAGTTAAGGGCCGTTTGATACTGAGGTTTACTGACGAATGCTTGTTGCTTTGGACTGGAGGTAAGGTTCGTTTGATAATGATCGTTCGTGCCGAATGCTTTTTGCTTTGGACAGGTGGTAAGGTCCGTTTCATACTCAGGGTTCGTGACGAATGCTTGTTGCTTTGGACAGGAGGCAAGGTCCGTTTGATACTCAGGGTTTGTGACGAATGCTTGTTGTTGTGGACAGGAGGTAAGGTCCGTTTGATACTGAGGGTTTGTGACGAATGCATGTTGCTTTGGAATGGAGGCAAAGTCCGTTTGATACTGAGGGTTAGTGACGAATGCTTGTTGCTTTGGACAGGAGGTAAGGTCCGTTTGATAATGATCGTTCGTGCCGAATGCTTTTTACTTTTGACAGGAGGTAAGGTCCATTTGATACTAAGGTTTCGTGACGAATGCTTGTTGCTTTGGACAGGAGGTAAGGTGCGCTTGATACTGCGAGTTCGTGACGAATGCTTGTTGCTTTGGACAGGAGTTAAGGTCCAGTAGATACTGTGGGTTCGTGACGAATCCTTGTTGCTTTGAACAGGATGTAAGGTCCGTTTGATACTGTGGGTTCGTGACAAATGCTTGTTGTTTCCGACAGGAGGTAAGGTCCGTTTGATACCGAGGGTTCGTGACGAATGCTTGTTGTTTCCGACAGGAGGTAAGGCCCGTTTGATACCTAGGGTTCGTGACGAATGCTTGTTGCTTTGGACAGGAGGTAAGGTCAGAAAGTCGGGCTAAGATCAAGTCAAGGATGATGAAAGGTTGCTTCAAGCATAGGATATTGACTATAAAAAAAAAGGTTTATTACCGAAGCCTAGTGTTTGAAGAGTATGGTCGAGATGGTGAGACGGAAAGTGCGTCTTCCCGACTAGATGCTCGCAGGTCGTCTCCTGCACGTTGATACTTTTTGGCGGGGATCCAATAAGTCACGTGACCTTTTACTGGCGGCAAATGCCAACCGTGAAACCACTTTTGGGTGTTCATTCCAAAACAGTCTCGTGCCTTAACGTTGAAAGTGTTGGGTCGTTGCTCAAGGTGTAGCAGCAACGATGAAGGAAAGAGAAATGGAAAAGGTTCGAGGCAACCGTTGACGGAAGGAGGGGGTGTGCCGATAACAGTATCAGATAAAATATGTTGCCACCAACAGATAAGCAAAATTTATTTATTTCTGTATACATACATGTCCTTTATGCAATCATTTCTCTGAAATAAAGCAATTTATCAATTTTTCTATGATTATTTCTTTGCATCTCATTTAAGATTTTGGTTGCAATATTATAAATTCCATTGTGGCTCGTGGTGCCCTTTTTAACCCTAAAAATATACATATATAAAAATATAATATTCCTGCAAGGTCGATGCATCACAAATACATCCACAACAGTTCTTTTGATAGTGTTGTTTAATGTACAATGTAAGCTTATTTTGAGATCTTCCACGAAAATACGTTACATTTATCTCGTTGAGGTATGTTAATATATATGATATATTTGTAGATGTCTGTCTGTTAACATGACCCCACGATTTATATTTAACGCAAAATACCACAAAATATGAAACAAAAAGAAGGAACAAAAACGATTTTATAACTACAATATTTATATTTATTTTTTGTGTAATGATGTACATGCATAGAGGTTACTAATTCGTTTGTCTTATGTCCCTTTGACTGAATTAAAGTTTTTTTACTGGTGAAATTGAAATATTTTTATCTGAGCTCACAAAAGTTGAATGAATTATAAAGCTGAGAAATGCTGAAT